GAAAGTATGAGCGTTGGGCATTTGTGTGACAAAAAAATTGATATTTGCCAACCGCAATGTGAAGTAAGGTTGTGTTGAAACAAATAGCCTGAGCGCACATAAAGGAAGATTTATAACAAGTAAGATATGAAACAACCGAGTGAAAAAGCCTATTGCTTAATCCGTGCAGACTATAGATACATTCCCCGGAAAAACTGCTGTAAATGTGTTGTTGGGCTATGCGACATCTGTGATAGAATTTCAATTGTACGACAAATAAATTGAACGTAATACAGAGAAGGCATACTTAAAGTTTTGATCGGATATATCGATAGTGGTTTACCGCGTTAGAAAATTTTCCAACTATCAATCGCGATTATGATCACGAAGAACAAATTAATACAAGCAATCGCATGCCACGAAACATCGCGCAAAAAGAAGCAAGAGAAAAAAAATTTGAAAAATCGAGCGAATCAATAATCCGCACTCACGTGGCGCGTGCGCGCGAATAAAAAAACGAATATAATCTATCAAAGTGCAGCCCGCAAAGTACGGAAAACGCGGCTTTGGCGCAAAGCTCTCCTACTAAAATTCCCGCAGTCTCACGATGGCGCAAAAAAACAAAAAAAAAACGCAAAAAGAGAAAAATAGTTACTCGCGTGGTGCATTAGCAGATTTAACGAGCTATGCGGTCCTCTTTTTTTTATCACGGGGCTCCATTATTTTGATTCCGGCGGGGGCTGAAAGTTTCAGCGCTTTCTCCGAGTGCATTAGTGTTTATATCAATTTGTCGCCTAGCGCAATTGAATTACTGCAGTTAGCCGCTTTCAGTCTCTCTTTCTCTCTGCTCCTTTTACTATATCCCTGCGTGTACATACAAGAGCTTGCTTTTGAAAATGCTGTCGTTTCTCTTTTTTGTAAAGGGTTGCGTGATACTCGCTTTCTTTTGATATGACGACAATGGGCTTAGCGAGTCTAATAGTGATTACTGAATTAGTGAATGGTCGGAATAAAATCGAAGGCTCGTTCAGTTTGGCGCTTGCCGTTGCCAAGCGAAATCATCCACAGGGAAATCCAACTGTAAGCTTCGGGATTGTTGAAAGAAAAAGCACGATAGAGCATCGATACCCCGACAAAACTGAAAGAAGGGTGGTCGCGCGATCGACACTACAAAAGGAGAAAGCGAAGGCGTCGACGCGCCGTTCGTTTTTACAAACTCACGTCTCGGTCGCATTTTCGAAATCCGCTCTTCTAATTATTTTAAAAAGCCCGCGCGCTCCTGGGGAGCAGCTGAAATTTCAATCAGAGAACGCGTGCGCGAGAGAGAAAGAGAGAGCCACTTTCCTAATTAACGAGCGAATTGCTTTGGCTCAATTTCGAAAATGACGCGCGCGCTCTCGGAGCTTAATTAAGAAAATGAGGCTATCTTATTACACGCTGCGCGCGGGCGCGTGCGTACAATCCCTTGTGTATATATCGCAACAATAAGTCCTGAGGTCTTGCTTGCTGCGGTACAGAGCGAATGTGTTTTTTTTTTTTTTTTTTTTCGTACGGCTTATTTTTCAGAATGGTAGTCGAAAATTCCCATCGGACGTATTGTTTATTTTTGCTGTCTCTCTTTGTGTGCGAGGATGTCTTTCTATGCCTTTTCAGATTGAGCAGCGCAGTGTAAATCACGCGCGGTCTCTCCCGGTACGCTCTCTTTTTTTTTGTAATTTGCCTTCTTTGCTACCGTAGTTCCTCTCTCGTATTCCGGGAAAATCTCGGAGCGAGGTGTTAATTTTTTTCTCGCAACGGCGGATCCGCTCGAAGCTTTTGTGCGCTCGCAAGCTTTCAAGAGATTTTTTTTCCGGTTGCACTTGCGATTATCAATTAGCAGCCAAACGTGTACGCCAAACCGTCGAGGAGGAAAGAGCGCGATGCGATGAATATTCACGAGATCGGCCGATTTCCGTTGGGCGAACAGGAAGAGCGAAAGTAAGCCATCGTTAATAAAGCTCGCTGTCCCGTCAAACGAGGCGTCTCATCTCTCATTTCTGAACCGAATTTTTTTTTTCCTCCCCCCTCCCTCCGCGCACCGGCGAGCATCCGCCATTAATTCTTCTGCTCGTTATACCCTCGCGCGCGTCGCATCTCGAGGGTTACGTACGCCGAAACACATCTCGCAGCGCCGATTTTTTCCTTCTTCCCCGCGTCGCTCGCCGCGCTTGTAGATGCTCTTCATTATGCGCTATCCGAAGCCTTTGATGTTCTGCGGCCAATCGCATTAGCATCCGCGAGCTCTCTCTCTCTCTCCCTCTCTCTCGCTCGTTCGTTAATTAGCGCGTCCGCTTCCGGGAAGAGAACGAACGCTTTGACGAAGTATGCTATCGAGGGTCGAACTACTACAACAATGACGCGATGATTCTTTTTTTTTTTCTGCACGGGAGAAGCGAGAGAGTCAAACGAATGTCTGATGAGGTTCGTTTCGCACTCGTTAGTGCGCTGCTTGGAGATTTGGTTGTTACGAGCGCTGATTGACGCTCGTTTGCGGTTCTCGAGGCTGTTTTCGTTGCGCGCGGGCCTCGCCGCGCGACGACTCCGGGCTGGTCTTTTCATCGACCGAGTCGCGACACGAGAGGAACAAAACCGACTCCGCGGGCATATTAAACGCGCGCGAATTGTCGATAAGGTGGGGAGCGCTGCGTGTATCCAAAAGCAAGGTTAGCGCGAGAGTGGCCATAAAAAGAAATGCCATAAATGTTTAATGCACTTTGTTGCGGAAGAAAGCCGGGCGGCCCTTAAGAAACGAAGCAGGAGAGGCGCGCGCGAGCAAGAAAGACATAGATAGAAGCATCAAGGAGGGAGAATCCATCTGCTAAGTGCGGATAAAATTACCCCTTGGCCTTACCTCGGCTGAGTGGATACGTTTTAACGCCGCTCGCGCTCGCTGCCGCACCGTATAGTTCGATTTGCATCTTAGCCAGATTGCCAACAGACTCTATATATAGTACCATCGGAGTCTTTCTCTCTCTCTCTCTCTCTCTCCCTCTCTCTGGCTTTTGTTCGGCAGCAATTTGTGGGGGGGGGGGGCAAGGGATATGCGACTTCCGTTAAATTCTACCGAAAAAAAGGGATATCATATAAAAGTCAGCGTACGCGTAGGCAAATCCCCACAAGAAAATAGAATGACAATGAGATAGAGATCCACGCAGACGGCATGTGTATCTCGCTGTAAGAAGGTACATAAAAAAACCGGTGTTTTTCGGTGGGGAAAAAAATCGAAACTTTAAAACTTGCGAAATACAAACTTAAATCCATCTCGGCGTCGTCGTCGTCGTCGTCGTCGTCAGCCGAGCCGAGTCGAGCGAGCGCGTCGGTATTGAGTTCTGTATCATGGGTGGCTATAATACATTTTTTATCTGATCGAAAGCGGGGGAGAGATCTTTTATGGTGGGGAGGAAAGAGAGAGAAGGGTGTTTGGGTTAGCCTTCTTTTTTTCCGCTACGCGTGCCCCGTAGGATGTTCCTTTTTTCTTTCTTTATATTTATACCGTCGCCCCGCCGTCGATCTCATTTTCCTTAGATCGACTAATTTTTATTGCCGACGACGCTGGACCTTGAAACCTTCTTCTCTCGTGAGATTACTTTTTATCTGCTGCTCGAATTAGCTTCAGCTGTCGCGTCAGCTATTTTTTTTTTCTCTTCTGTTTGCTCGCCTGATTTATTGCCGCGCGAGGCCGCTATCAATTTCGATGCATACAATAACTATCTGCCGCGCTGTCCGAAAGCCCATCTGATCGAGTCTTTTCAGTTCTCATTTAAAGCGATAAAGATATAATCAAAACTTTTCTAATATCCCAGTTCGCGCGAGCGCGAGATGAAAAGAAAGCGTTAAACGAAAAAGTTAAACACACTTTTACCGCTGTGCCTGGGCAGAGCAAAGGAGAGAGAGAGAGAGAGAGCGAGCTTGGTTATTTATAAAACACAAGGAGAGGCGCGCACACGTGGACTCGACTTAACGCAATAAGCCGCTCATCAATTTTCCAAAAAGGAAAATTTCATCTATAGGGCTCACTCCTCTCCGGCGCGCGGGCGGGCCGGCAGCACGCAACAAATTAGTTTTCTGTCTCATCGCAAAACTCGACGCTACACGCTCGCACACACAGCGGCGGCAACCTTCGTCTCTCTTCTTCATCTCTCTCTTTCTCACTCGCGAGCTCGCGCGGAGCTCGCTCGCGCGCGCACACGTAGCGAGAGGGATGCGCGCGGCACCTACGTGTGAGTGAGCGAGAGAGAGAAGGGGGTGTCATATCGGCCGGCGGGGATTGAAAAGCAATTTTCCCGAGCGAGCGAGCGAGCGAAAGGGAGGGAAAAGGCAAGCCGGAGAAAGAGAGAGGGAGAGAGAGAGAGAGAGAGAGAGAGAGAAGCTTTATATTAATGATCCAGATATATTATCGGACGTGACCGAAATTGCTGTCAAAAAACTCGGATATTGGATCCAAGGAGATTGCCACGCCACTGAGAGGCAGTTTCGCTTTCTCAAGAGATTGCACACATACACACAGACGCGCACACGTGCGCGCGCGCGTAGCACACGCGACTGAGCAGCCATATTCAAATGTGCCGCTGCTGTGTGTGAGCTCGTATTTTTATTCTGTACCCCGGCGTCTTTTATTGAATACCCTATTTTTCCGAAAATACACCTGCAACTAAGCGGACTGGAACATGTCTCGTTTTTAAAATTGTTGCTCCCGCAAGTCGACGATTCTTCAAAGCAACGCAAACGCGTATGCAAAGTAGACGTAGCCTTATCGGCGATGCGGGCGCGCGCGCTCTTTTCAGCTGAAGGTGGGAAAGGGCCTACCCGTCGAAAAACAAACGGGCGATAAGTGATTGCGCGCGCGCGTGCGGAACCTTGTACAGTTCTTCAGCGGAAAGGCTGATAATAAGCGGCTTCTCGTGGCGCTCGAGCCAACAGACCGAGAGCACCTTCCTCCTCTTTCTCGAGCGAAGTCAGAAGCTTTGTTTCTGTGCTTGCAGGCGATGCTGTCGTAGCGGCTTTCCGTCGTTTGGCAGTTGCAGCTGATTCTGCGCTGGTAAGTTTTCCTTGGCGAGATTGCCTGCATCCCTGCGTCTCGCCGGCACGTCTGGATAAACTATTGGCGAGCGGCGCGCCACCCGGAGAAAAGCCGACGGGCGGAGCGCCCGTGTTATTCGACTCGAGAGCGTCGAGACCCGATCCCGTGGGTCCGCCGAGTGGTGTTTGGGCAGCCGCGCGGGATCGCGGGATCGCGGGCTCGAAGCTCGCTTACGGGCCGTCGGCCGGCGCGCCAACCGACAAAGGAGCTGACGTCGTCGCGTGGAACCGGTAGCCGGCGCGCTCGCAAATTGCCCCGGCCCGTGGCGACGCCCTTCGTCGCACGCGTGCGTGCCGTACGCGCTCTGCCTTTTTCTCGGCGCGTTCGGCGAACGACTCGCTCGGCCCGCGCGCCGGCCCGGGTTTTGACCGAGGCACGCTCGGCCGTGCCTCGTAGGCTTGATTAGCTTTCGCCGTAAAAGGTAGTTTGCGAGTCGTTCGCCGGCATCGCGCTGAGCTGGCCTTGTCGTCTATAAAAAGCGAGAGAGTTCCGCGCAGGTACGTTCCTCGAAATTTGGCGAAAGTTCGGCGGCGCGCGTTGCACGCCCGATCGGGCCAGAGCCGAAGGATCGACGGCCGGCAAAAACGCGCGAGCACGAGCGGAGCCGGAGCGCGGGGCAACGAAACAAAAAGAAAATAAATAAAAGAAGAAGGAAAAGGTCGGCGGGGGTACATAAGGGATCGGCTTCGATCGCGTGGCTTTGGCTTCTCTGATTGCGCTGAATGGGCCAGGCGCGGGGGGAGGGGCGGAGCTGCCTTTGCTCGCTGATTGACACTTGTTCCACTCGCCATGCAGGCAGTGCTCGAGCTAGCTGCCTCGTTCGCCCCGCGCTTAGAAACAATCGTACCCGGCTTGTTGATTTCGAGCGGCTGCTGATTGCGAGCGCGTTTCGTGCAAGCTTTCTTGATTGGGCCACGGCTATCCGCAGCCCTCTCTTTTTATTCCCTCTCTCGCTCTCTCATTTGTAAACTTCGTGCAGCTGCGCGACAGAACGTGTCGGCGATTTTAAATTAGGACCGATTGACGAGCTGCCGCCACGCGGCAAATTCGACACCAGTGCGCACGACCAAGATCACTTGGGCGTTTCGCTTTGCTGCTGCTCGTTGCAAGTTTATTCCGATTATATTTCCGAATCGAGACGTGTTAGCTCAGCGCTTCGAGGTCGAGCACGGCGAGGCAGACTCGGTATGAGACAACGTTGCTAAAGAACGAGGCTGTTCCGAAGAGTGACTTTTATTCGTTAATATGAAAAAGAAAAAAAAAAAGAAATGGCCAGACGACTGGACCTGGAAGCACGTGTCTATCGCGCATTAACAAAAATCCGCTCAATCGGCTGAATTTTTTCCAGGCTGGAAAGTTAGAAGTCGCTGGGAGCTAATTTATTGGCGAAGCGAGGGAGTATGCACTCGTGGCGCAGAGAGGAGAGAGAGTGAAAAAGATAAAGAACGGCGAGCGCACGATGGGATTAATTAAGCCCGAAGCTTATCTGGCAGTTTGCATTGAAGCCTCGGGATTATCTTTCTCGATCTCTCGCGAGTAATTTATTCGCGGATCCAATAAAGGGGCGGGAGAGAGAGAGAGAGAAAGATGAACTAAAAGGACTTGGCCCTCTCGCTCTTTAGCGCCGGGCGAAAGAGAAATATTTAGAGGAATTAACGGGTCAAAATGGAGAAATCTTCGGGGTCCGTTAGCATTTTAATGACTGCTCGGTAACTTCGAGTACCTACTTAGATGCCGGCTACAAATTCGTCGTATTTTTAAATTTGCAGGCGCACTCCGACTGAAAATTATTAAATGCGCGGCCCTGTTTTCGACGCGCTGAGGCAACAAGCCAATGACCTTGAGCAAATCTCTTTGCAACACGGCGATTCCTATTGGTACGCGGGGAACTCCGTTTGAAGCTATTCCGAGACCGAATGTTCCTTGAGCAAGAGAAATAGTTTTATTGCAAGAGGACCTTTGCACGACGTAGTTTCACGTTTCTTTTCGAAGGTCTAAAAATATTTTGATTTGCCGATGAATTTGGCCGCTGGCGGGAGTAGGAGGCTGCAGCTTATTTCTGAACGTTCGACGATTATCACTTAGCGCTCGACGAGGTCCCTCGAAATGCCGTCAAGTCAACCTAAAAACGAAAGCAAACGAAAGTATCGGTCAGCGTGAGTCGAGCGCGTACGAGGGGTGCCGAAAATTTGCGTTCCGAGTCTGGTCTAGATTGGGTTGAGGAACTCTACTACAAACCCCCATCGCGGTTATATAGAGCGAGATCGCTGGCTCGACAGTGTACGTGTGTGCGCGTGTTCGGGTGGAGGCGCTGTACTTAGTTAACGGACAATGCGGCCCCTAACGAACAGCCGCAGGCGGGCGCCGTCGTCGTCGTCGCCGTCGACGTCGTCGCGTGGCTGAGCAGACGGACGGATTACGCGGCCGCTATAAGCGTCGTTAATGCAAGACGAGAGCCGAGCGCGGGAGGTATGCTGGCTGCCGGCGAGGAGGAACCTCCGAGCTTTGATTAATTTATTGGGATTGCCAAGGCGCGCCGGCGTGCTGGCCCCCTCCGACAAGCCTCGCGCCTGATTGGCTGACCTACTATTGCGATGCGTATCTTCTTTGCTTCATTAGCGGCTGTTGCCCCGGCCGGCTCGTCGGCGGAATTGCGCCGAGGGCTTTATTCGGCCGACGCGGCCACCCGGGTGGTCGGATTTCGAACGCGACGGACGTCGCCTGCGAGCGTCGTATCGTCGCGGATCGCTCGCGACGATAAAGAAGCGAGGCAGGGCTCGCGGCCGCACAAAGACGCCGCGCGATCGCGGCGCGCCAAAATTTGACGATCGCCGAGGCGGCAGCGCAGAGCGAGAGAGCCCGAGCGCGCGAAAAATCCGGCAGACGCGCACTCGCCCGGAGCGCCGGCGGTTGAGGCGCACTGAGCGCTCGTCGTAATTGGATTCGATTGTCCCGCGTTAAATCGGCAACCGCGCGTCGCCACGGTGCACCTCGTCTCCTGCGCGCGCGTCCGTGCGATGGGGTAGTCCACCCTCTGCTGCGAGCGCGCCTCTGTCGGATAATCGATGATCCGGGCGAGAGAATACGAGACTGCGATCATTCCGCTGCGCTACAGTCATCGTCGAGCCAGCCTCGCCGCGCTATGCTCTTACGGACTTACTTGCTCCCTGCTCAGTGGAACTTTCGGGAGCGTAATCTCACTTTCCATTCGGAGAGGTTTTCTCGATTAGATCGCCGTTGATCGAGAGGGGCTTCCCAGTTGGACCTTCGGCAACCCGGCGCATCTTTGATTCCGGAAACTTTAGCGTCAGGCTGGAAATAAATAATACGGCGTTAATAAGACGGCGCGGCAATCGCGGCGCACGCATTAGCGGCGTCTCCAACGAAGCGCGAGCGAGTCGGCGCTCGAAAAGTAGCGTTCTCGCGGCGGCGCGGTCCCGCCGTGCAATCCCCGCCAGCAGGCAGCGGCGAGCCAGCGGGATTGATTAATAATGCCGATTGCCGAAAACGAATTAGCCCGGGCAGCGGCGGACGCGCGCCCGGCCGTTAATCGCGAGCGGCGAAAGTGTAATGAACCTTTTAGGGTAATAACTGCGCGCAGGCTCCGCGGAGAGAGCGGCTAATAGTTTCCCAAGGGCTCCTAATTTGTCCGTAAAATCATCAGACTAATGGCCGGACACCTCCGCGCGGTTAATAAACTTGCGCCCGCACACACGTGTGCCCCGGTGAGGTGCTCCCGGGAGCGCTCGATGCATTAAATAAAAATGGAGCGCGCGGCGAAGAACACCAGTTGCCAAGTTCATCTGCCGATCGCGCGCTCTCCGCTCCACTGACGCTAATGGATCCTGCCTATACAGCTACTCTCTTTGACGTCGGAGACTCGAGTATATTAGATGATTCCTCGTGCTGGAGTGCACTTCCCCCCTCCCCCACCCGCTCTATCTCTCTCTCTCTCTCTCTCTCTCTCTCTCTCTCTCTCTCTTTTATTGATGACGTTCAATGTTGCGGCAGAACTTGCTGGCGGCTAGGCATGTCATTAAAAATAATTGCAACAAAAATTGAAGATAAAAAAGAAGTATTAAAGCTCGCCAAGTTTTTCAGCGGGGCGGAAGAAAAAGAAGCGAGAGAGAAAGAGAGAGATGAAAGTAGAAATTAATGAGTGCGCGTAATGCGTCATCAAAACTGAAAGCCCCGTAGCGTGGCGTGGCGCTCATTAAGGGATGTTGGCGAGTGAAGAGGCCATCTGGTCAATTTCACATAACACTTTAAAGCATTCGCGCCATTAGCGTTTTGGCTTCCTCTCGCTAAAGCTGCAATAAATCGATCGGAACATAATGAGCTCCGGCCGAGCGACGTTCTTTTTATATTCTGCCAATGGCCGTTGTTCTCTCTCTCCCTCTCTCTCTCTCTCCGTTAGCTCTTCGCGCGCGCACTGTCAATGAGCCCTCGTTCGTCATTGATTCATTATAGTACGCGCGGCTCCGACGGCGACTGGTCGCGCGAGATGACGCTCGTAAAAAGAAAAAAAAAGAAAAAAAAAAGATCAGTTTTTAATCGAGCGCCCCGTTCCCGGTATCACTTAGCGCGCGCGGCCTCGATTGCCAATTAACATTGAAAGTCGCGCAGGCAGGCAGTCAGGCAGGCAGGCACGCGGGCAGGCAGCTGCGTACACTCCGACGCTGCTCGAGAGAGATAGAAAACAGAGGCGGCCCATTAGTAAAATTACCAGGCGCAATATTGCCGATAGAATGCAACGCGCGCGTTAAGTGTCGAGCGCGCAGAGGCCGGGGTGGGGCAAGCTTTTTTCATTTGTGCCCGAGCTATTGTATATACTATTTCGGTAAATGGATCTTTCCTTTTGCCTTGTTTTCAACGTTGCGCGTCTGCAGAAATTATCGCTCGCTCGCCTGCGCGCAAAAGGCGCCAACCGGATATTAGCCGGTCGCAATTACCGGGAT